GGGGATTGGGCTGGCCACTCCATAACGTCAATCTTGTTGGTCTGGAACCAAGATGTTGCACGTTTACTGATGTGTTTGGGGTCGTTGTCTTGTTGGAAAACCCATTTCAAGGGCATTTCCTCTTCAGCATAAGGCAGCATGACCTCTTCAAGTATTCTGACTGATATGCGATAAATAGGCCCAACACCGTAGTATGCTTGCACAACCATGCTTCACTGTCTTCACAGTGTACTGTGGCTTGAATTCAGTGTTTGGGGGTCGTCTGACAAACTGTCTCCGACCACTAAACCCAAAAAGAACATTCTTACTTTCATCAGTCCACAAAATGTTGAGCCATTTCTCCTTAGGCCAGTCAATGTGCTCTTTGGCAGATTGTAACCTCTTCAGCACGTCTTTTTTTCAACAGTGGGACTTTGCGGGGGCTCTTGCAGATAGCTTGGCTTCACATAGGCATCTTCTAATTGTAACAGTACTCACAGGTAACTTTAGACCTTATTTGATCTTCCTGGAGCTGATTGTTGGCTGAGTCCTTGCCATTTTGGCTATTCTTCAATCCATTCGAATGGTAGTTTTTTCGCTTTTCTTCCACGTCTTTCAGGTTTTGGTTGCCATTTTAAAGCATTTAGCGATCATTTTAGCTGAGCAGCTTATCATTTTCTGCACTTCTTTATGTTTTCCCCTCTCCAATCAACTTTTTAATCAAGGTACGCTGTTCTTTCTGTACAATGTCTGGAACGACCAATTTTTCTCAGAATTTCAGAGAGAAATGCATTGTAACCAGCATGTACAACATTTGCTGCCTTCCTTCCTTAACCAGTTGCCGACCGCAGATAGCCGAATGACGGCTACACTGTGGCCGGCCAGTTCTGGGAGGGCGTCATATGATGTCCTCCCAGAACACGCTCTCCTGCGCGCCCCCGGCGATCTCCGTGATCAATGTGTCCTATGGACACAGTTGATCACATGATGTGCTAAAAGGCCATTCACAGCGGCATTTTAACACGTGATCAGCCGTGTCCAATGACACGCTGATCACAGGTAAATGCTATTGCCGGTTCTCAGCTGCACTTTCCTCATGCTGTCAGATCGTGAGGAAAGTACTGTCGAGAACCGGCAGTTGTTAGAACAGGGATTGGCACTGATGATCAGTGCTCTGATCGGTGCCCAGCAGTGTGCCGCCCACCAGTTCCACCCACTTGTGCCCAGCAGTGCACCCACCTGTGCCCAGCAGTGCCATCCAGAAGTGCCACCTACCTGTGTCCAGCAGTGCCACCCACTTGTGCCCACCAGTGCCACCCACTTGTGCCCACCAGTGCCGCCCAGCAGTGCTGCCAGTCAGTGCCACCAGTCAGTGCCCAGTGGTTGTGCCAGTCAGTGCCCAGTAGTTGCGCCAGTCAATGCCTAACAGTGGCACCAGTCAATATCTAGCAGTGCCACCAGTCAATGCCCAGCAGTGATGCCAGTCAGAGCCACCTATCAGTGCTGTCAGTACCCATCAGTGCCGCCTATCCGTGCCACCTCATTAGTGTCGCCTATCAGTGCCCATCAGTGCTGCCTATCAGAGTCCATCAGTGCTGCCTCATCAATGCACATCAGTGAAGGAGAAAAATTACCTGTTTGCAAAATTTTATAATAGAAACAAAAACTTTTTTTTTTTCAAATTTTTTGCACTTTTTTTGTCTATAGCGCAAAAAGTAAAACACCCAGCACTGAGTAAATAGAAAGCTCTATTTGTGAGAAAAAAATGATAAAATTTCATATGGGTACAATCTTGCATGACCGCGCAATTGTCAAAGTGCGACAGTGCTGAAAGCTGAAAATTGGCCTGGTAAAGAAGGGGGTATAAGTGCCCGGTAGGCAAGTGGTTAAATAAGGGCAATAATTGCCACCTGTTTTTCAAAGAATGAATGACCTCACTAATAGAACTCCACACTGCTATTATTTTGAACATGCCCCTTAGAAAACTAGAAAAAAACGGCCAAAATACCGAAAAAAAAACGGCCGACCAAATCGCCCACTAACGATCCGAAAATCGGCCGATTTTATTTTCGGCCGAAAAATCGGCCGATTTTCGACCCATCTATGGCCTGCATCAGCCTGTAACAGGCTAATAACGTTGTCCACTCAATGGAACTGACGTTTGTTGCACCATATGAAGAGTGGTGAGTCCCTCTCAGGCTGATTCCTGTCTCCTACTCCTGCTGGGATCAAACTCTTATACTGCTTATCTCCTGCTTTCCTTTCCTTGGCAAATTCCCTCAGTGGAAAGAAAATTGCCAAAAATAGTGCTTTATCTTTTTAAAAAACAGTGCTTTAAGTACCAGTTGCACTCCTTTTAAAAAACAGTGCTTTATTTAAGTACCAGTTGCACTGGTTTCCACTGAGGGCACCTGCCAAGGAAAGGAAAACAGGAGATAAGCAGTATAAGAGTAAGATCCAAGCAGGAGTAGGAGACGGGAAGTAGCCTGAGAGGGACTCACCACTCTTCATATGGTGCTACAAACATCAGTCCCATTGAGTGCACAAAAAGCGTTATTAGCCTGTTACAGACTAATCTGGAGGTGAGCGCACATCTTATACTCATTAAGGAAGTCACCTGGAATTATTGATTTGAATCACTGGGAAAAGTCACATATTTTTCATTGAAGACTGATTAAATTTTATATTTTTTATATTATATATTTTTTGTACGATGAGCACAGGATGACATTTTGATTTCTGTTTTTCACAAGTTTATTAATATTGATTTTTTGATATATTTATTGGAAATATGTATTGATTTAATATTCAAAGAAGGAGCGCAACATATTGTTTTTATGTTTTTGAAATATCATTTCTACCAAAAACAGTGATTGATCAGGTTAGTGATGTCTGACTGCTATTATTTTGAACACAACTGTATATGCAGATGTACACATTTACATAATTCTTTGCATAACCCTTGTAATGCCAGTGGCACAGAGGGAGCTGATAAGCAAACAAGTCTTCTCTTCCCCCTCTTACTGCCAGTGTTGCATTTAAATGGTTAAAGCTTACTTCTCATAACTGTATAATCTGGTAACCATTGCTAATTGACAGTTTCTATTGTACCAGTGTTTCTGCTTTCATGTGTTCCAACATAACTGCATACTATTGCACAAAGCAAGGTCCATAAAGACATGGATGAACGAGTCCTGACCGTTCATAGAACACCTTTGGGATGAATTAGAGCAGAGATTGTGAGCGAGGCTTTCTCATTCAACATCAGTTCCTGACCTCACAAATGCACTTCTGGAAGAATGATCAAACATTCCCATAGGCACACTCCTAAACCTTGTGGACAGCCTTCCCAGAAGAGTTGAAGCTGTTACAGCCGCAAAGGGTGAGCGAACGCAATATTGAAATCTACGGACTATGACTGGGATGCCAATAAAGTTCATGTGCATGTAAAGCTAGGGTCTCAATACTTTTGACAATATAGTATACTTGTCTACCTATGCCACCTGAGTCAACACTTTTTCTTTCTTAGAAGCAGGTTTTGGCAGTTCTCTTGGGTCTTGATTTGTTTCCTCTAATAAGGCTTCCTTCTGTCTCACTAATTCAGGGAAAGTGGGGGTTATTTGTAATACCTTGAGTATTCGTTTCAGCACAGTCAGGTGATTAGGTCATGCCCCTTGTAGAATCTGCTCAAGTCAGACTTTATCAACATCCTTGAGATTGGTCCCTTTCTTTAGAATAATTTCACTTAGAATTTTATGCACTTGTGTAGTATGTTCAGATATTCTCTCATCCCTACGCTGCTGTGTGTGCTCGAATTTATATAAGGGATCTGGAAGTTTCTGCACTCCGCCAAACACAGCATATAAAGCTTCAATACAATGAATTGCTACACAGTCCTGCTTCCCCATTGCCTGATCCATCCAGGTTTACTCTGAGAAAAAGCAAAGCTTCCAATATCCTTGACTGACAGAAGCAGAGCTATTCTTTACAAATTTCTCAACTAGCTTGTCCATGTCTGTGTAGAACGAGGTGGAGGAACCCAGTTGGGGGTGGGTCAGCATCCACCGACTTCATTCTTGCTTGTAGGTGATTCCCTGACGAATCACCAGTGGTCAGCAATGAGATCACCTGGGCATCAACCCCTTCTGCCAAACTTATGCTGTCCTTGTGGAAACAAGCAGGCATACCTTCCTTCCACTCTAATAATACATAGTTAACTCCGTCCTCATGTCAATGAGATACGCCCCTGATCTGGCACCAGATTCTTCACCAGCTGACTGACTTTCCTCTCAGTCCATTTACTTCCTAGTATCTCAACCACCATACACAGTTCCAGATGACTGCCTTGTTCTCGACCCCACTCAGCCACGGTTGCTGACTCCATCATTTCTTCACCCTTTGGCCTGTGACTCCGCTGGCTAGGGCTAACTGTGAGAGAATCCCGGACGAGCCCCAAATGTAGCACTATCCACATAGGGGCCGCTCGATTATGCTTTTTCCCCAGTGGTTGCCCTGACCTTGCAAGCCTCTTGACACCTCTAACACTCTGGGTTCAGCCCTATTTTAACAGTAGAGAATAATAATGTAAGAGATGCATTTCTTTAGTAACACCAATGTAATAGATTTGCTCAACAGAGTAGACTAAAGGAATAATGGGTTTAGGGTGCACATCCCCAATCTGTTACCACAAAGTTGGGAACATGAAAAGGTCCAAAATGTGATATTGGTATGCTGACGCCTTAAAAGTTCCCTTCACTAGAACAGGAAGGGACCAAGCCCAACCCCTGAAAATCAACCCCATACCATAATCTCCCCTCCACCAAACTTTACACATGGCACAATGCAGTCAGGCAAGTTCCGTTCTCCTGGAAACCACCAGACCCAGACATTTCTATCAGATTGCCAGACAGAGAAGCGTGATACGTCACTCCAGAGAACACATCTCCACTGCTCTAGAATCCAGTGGCGGCGTGCTTTACGCCACTGCATCCAACGCTTTGCATTGCACTTGATGTAAGGCATGGATGCAGCTGCTTAGCCATGGAAACCCATTCCATGAAGCATTCTATGCAGTATTGTTGTGCTAATCTGAAGGCCAAATGAAGTTTGGAGGTCTTTATTGACAGCAGACAGTTGCCAACTTCTGCAAACTTCAGCGTGCGCTGACCCCGCTTTGTCATTTTACGTGGACTATCACTTCGTGGCTGAGTTGCTGTTGTTCCCAGTTGCTTCCACTTTGTTATAATACCACTAACAGTTGAATGTGGAATATTTAGTAAAAAGGAAATTTCACAGATGGACTTATGGCACAGGTGGCACCCTATCACGGTACCACGCTTGAATTCACTGAACTTCTGATGGTGACCCATTCTTTCACAAATGTTTGTATAAGCAGTCTGCATGCCTAAGTGCATGACATCCTGTGGCCATACTAATACTCTTGATCAAGCTCTTCCATCACCAAAACCATCAGGTCTGGTTCACACCAATGCATGTTGCAATCTGCTGTGGGAAAAAAATTCCTGACCCTTTTCAAAAACACAGTGGCTGGAAACACGTAGATATGAACGTGTCCCATAGGAAACCATGTTAAATGGACTGTAGTGAATTTCTGCAAATGAAAAAAGTACAAAAAAAACGATTAGGTGTGAACCAGGCCTTAGTGAGGTTGACCCAGTTGACCTGCTGATTCAAGTTCAGACTCAGATACAGCAAAGCTTGCTGTGGGCAATGGAGACACAAGTGAAGAGGCAGGCAGCTAAATCGGATCAAAGGGAAGCCCATGCTTCAGCGGTGTGGAGAATCAGGACATTTTAGGGCTCAGTGCCCCAGGAAAAAGACTGCGTCAGATCTAATGGCTGAAGTACTAAGGGCAATACAGATGTTTCTGCTCTCTAAGAAAGGGGGAAATTTCAGGGGGCCTCAGTGAAGGAGCTGAGGGCCCCTGAGAAAAGCTAGTGTTCCAAAAGATACCAGGAAGTAAATGGATGGAGAGGGAAGGCCTAGTTCATCGACATGAGGACAGAGTTAACTATGGACTGCACTTGTGTATTACTGAAGTGGAAGAAAGTTATACCTGCTTGTTTTCAGGACAGTATAAGTTTGGCAGATGGGGTTAAAGCTCAGGTGATCTAATTGCTGACCACTGGTGATTCATCATCGGGGAATCGCCCACAAGCAAGAATGGAGTCAGTGGATGTTGACCTACCCCTAATCAGGTCCCCCTCCCCGCCTCGTTCTACACAGACATGAATGAAAAAAGCCAGCGCTCAAAAAGAAAAAAAAAAAAAAAAAAAAAAAAGAGTCTAAAATTCAAGCGAAAATGTAGGAAGAAGTCTCTTAGAAGCTCATCTGAATCCTCAACGAAGCTTAATTGGATGCCACCAGCACCAGGGGGAAATGCACAGAGTCATTGCGCCACCTCAATCTAAAGTCACTGTCAGACCATTTCCAAAAACTAGCAGGGAGAACAAACGGTCAAGCCAACCAAGCAACCTGAGAAACTTAGGCACCTGTCCTACAGTGTCAGTTCACGTGAAGGGAAGTACTAAGGTACTGACAGACACCGGGGCTCAAGTAACTTAGCTATACAGAGACTTTTATGACAAGTATCTGAAACATATCCCTTTGCACAAGTTGGAAGAGTTGGAAATCTGGGCTACTGGCGCTGAAAAATTTCCTTATCATGGTTACATTCCAGTTAAAATAATTTTTGGTCCCTCGACCACAGGGGAGACATTTGATACATCAGCAGTTGAATGTTCCAGACTGCCAGAAACAAGACAAAACTCTCTCTTAATTGGAATTAATACTTATCTAGTAAAAAAGGTTGCTTATTCCACTAGCTGAAAATTAAAACCTCACACTCAAAGGAATACACCCTCAATAGCATCAAACCTTTTGATGGGTGGTTCGGGAGCAGAGAGTCCCAATGGAAGGAGTGGGAAGATTGTGGAGGCTAGGAGCCAGGGAGAGAGTGCTGCAGCCTTGTGAAATAGTCTGTATTAAGGCCACAGTCAAGTTGACTTGGGATCAGCCAGGACCATTTGTCGTCTTGGATACTGATTCACAACAAGAAGAGATAGGAGTGGAGCTGGTCCTGGAAATAGTGCCCAAAAGAGCAATGTTCATTGTATTACTAATATTATTCCATGAAGTGAATATTTGCTTAAGTAATTTGGGTTTATATTATATTCTTTCTCCATATACAGTACATATATATTTTATCTATATTAATTGGTTTTAACAAATACATATTGGCATATATTGTGGATATTATGTTTTTAACATTATAAATAATTTTAGTCCATTTTATTACAACATCTGTATGCTACAGAAGAAGTTAGATAATTAAGAAATCTCAGTACAAATGACCTCAACGAATGTCTGTAAGATGTATAGGTAGAATTTTTTTTTCTTTCTCCAGAATCACTTATGTTATACATTATTTTCACTGACAATGATCCCAGTCTGTCTAACCTGTTCTGTCAAAAAGGGATCTTACCTCTTAAATTTAGAGTATTCTTACCAGCCAAAGGTTAGAGGTCAACTTTTGACACAACACAGGAATTTAAGAGAAATCCAAAATTAAGTTCTGACAAGCTTAGGCCTAAATAAGTCGGCAATGTCAAACTAACATTCAAGCAGTGGAAAAGGAGTGATGTAGAAGAGGTGGTTCCTGATTGGCTGTGGCCACAGGTCCGGGAAAACAACACCTCTCCCTCAGTTGGGGAAACAAGAGCAGAAGCCTCAGCACCAGATGTGCCAATCTCCCCCACACCTGAGGACACCACCAAAGTTAAAACAGAAACAGCTAGTCCACCCACAAGAAGGGGCATTACTCCTAGTAATGGAGGCCTTGTGACAAGGCCCAACGTTGAAAATGATTTAGAGTTTAAACCCCATTCAGTTGTTGTGGGCCCCGATTGTGAGTTGGAGACACGGGAGGCTGAGTCCTGTCAAGGCATCTATGAGTGGGGGAAGGATGCAGTCAAGTGCTGGCTATGTCACTATGCAATTCAGGAACACTTACAGATGGGATTATAATTAAGCCTTTTTTGCCCTAATGCCCAGTACTGGGACAGCTACATCACTTCCTGTTAGCAGAGTGTATCCAATTCTCCCACAGCAGAGGATCTTGGGATCTGTTGTCCTATAGTCAAAGCATACTGTATTTCTGAGTGCTGACTGAAGTAAACATACCAGAAAGCTGGCAAACCAAAAGGATGCTGGGAAAGCAGATATATTCTATTGCAAGAAGTGGGATCGTTCTCTTGGCGCAGGATTCAGAGCTGGATGCAGGGAGACTGCTGTTCTCCTCAAGAGAAAGATTGTGAGCTTACGGCTGGGACTGTCACAATACTGCCCGCTGTGCTGAAAGGCTGTCAGGGGGTAACTCTAAACAACCTTTGCATACAGTCGAGAGCCTGTGCAAGAACTCTTGTTCCTAGGAGACTGTGCTATCTACAGGATTAGTGAGCGGATGGATAAACAACCTCTTTCTGTCATTACTCTAGAGACACTGCATGCACCTCAGTCACCAAGAGACTTTTGCTTTGAGCAGTACCACCTATTTGTTTAACTTAATTACCAGTATTCGATATTCATGGGCCCCACCATTGCTAGCAGAAATCAGCGAATACCACCATATGAAGAACTATTAACACTACAGGACTGAAGAAGCAATATCTAGTTAAAGGGACCTCTTCTATTCTAAGGTCATTGTTACTCAAACCAGGGTACCTACATATTTTTATGCAGGAGTATAAGTTTACATAATTCTCTGCATATCCCTTGTAATGTCGGTTGCCTAGAGGGGACTGAGAAAAAAGTATTCTCTTCCCCCTCTTACTGTCGATGTTGCATTTATATAGTTGAAGCTTACCTCTCATAACTGTACAATCTGTTAAACATTGCTAATTGATTTTTTTTTTTGGTTGTACCAGTGTTTCTTTCATGTGTTAATTGGGGTTGTGCACCCTAAACCCATTATTCCTTTGGTCTACTCTGTTAAGCAAGTCTAAAATAGAGGTATCACTAAAGAATTGTGTCTCTGGCACTATTATTCTCTACTATTGAAAAATGTCTGAACCCAGAGTGTCAGAGGTGTTGGGAGGTCAAGGCAACCACTGGGGACAAGTATCACTGAACGGCCCTTACGGGGGTTGTGCTACATTTACAGCAGAGTGATGATCACCAGATCCTGGAAATCCTCATCCCTCCCATTCACACTGGTAAATGCTAAACTATCATGGTTGATGGTGAATCATAGAATTCATGTATTTGGAAAAACATCGGAACATTAGATTCGTTATATTTCTGGAGACATTCACTAACACTTTAGCAAAGAACCTGACAGGCAGATATGAGACACTATTCTGGTTAGCTTCCTTTTCTCATTCTTTTTCTATTCAATCTTTTCTCCGTTCAATTTTTCTTTTGATTTTTTATACTTGCTCAGGTCATTTACTCATAGTTTAATGAAGAGATCAGCGGATGATCAGAAGGACACATGTATGGTATATTTACTGATGTCATCCCATACTGCTCTGGTGTACAGGAACAGCTATTCCAACCTTGCTATTTCAGTAACAGTCATACAATTTACATACAAAACTTACTGTGTATACTTTATCTACAGAGCAAAATTTCAGAAAAATGTTTGTATTTGTGTTAATACATCAGGGATGTTGTATTCCTATCGCCCGATGCTCGGGACATGTAGCTCTGTGCGCCGGGCAGGTAGTTTCTTCCTGTAGCCCTGCTGCAGGCAAGCAGCAGAGTTCACCTGTCAGGTGAAGCAATCTACGGCAGCGCTGCCACCGATTGCTTCACACAGTGCCAGCCTCTCTGCACCCCCGGTGTGAGGTCTCCCGGGATTTGCTTGACCGTCTGCAAGCCCGGCTCGCTGTCGGCTAGAGGGAAGAAGAAGAGTGGACAAGTCCACTCCCCTCCCCTGATTGTGCTGACCTGGAAGTGATGTTACGATGTCACTTCCGGGTCCCCGCTGAGAGATGTTAATGCAATCACCAGGAAAGAATGTAATATGGTGCGATGTGCATCACATTACATTCAGTGGAGCAGAGGGGAGACATCCAGGGTCTTTTAGATCTTGGATGTCTCAAAGAGAACATCACCAAAATCGTCACATAGGGGACTTTGTCCCCTACGTAATGAAAAAAAAAATAAAATAAAAAAAAAAAGTAAAAAAAAAATATTTTTTTTATTGCAATAAGTGACATTTACACCCAAGCACATACCATCCCCCCCAAAAAAAATATTAAGGCTTAGACCGCCACATATACGCACGTACAAACATAAAAGCACATGCTGGGATGCCTACGCATGAAACCGTCGACTGCAAAACACGTTACAGATCGCCGCGCACGCCAGAATGAGAGCA